TCATGGCGCACGTTACACAACCAGGGGCCGCGCAAAAGCGTTGTGCTGCAAGGCGGATTGCCTGGCAAGTGCAAAACGGCAGTGGGAATATGTTAAAATGAGGTGAACATCACTAGCCACTCAGAAACGGCACAGAATCGGAAATCAAGACAAGGTCGGCAAGCACGAATAATGGACCCATGAAATTGAGCGCGGCAACATTGGAATGTTTGTTCAGGTTGTGTGTTTGGCCACGGCCCAGGGAAAGTATGCGAAGCCCATTGATGAAAAAAGGTTGCGGTTCATGGTTGCAGGCGAGCGGCATGGGCAGAGCAGACAGCGTTGTGGTGCAAGGCGGATTGCCTGGGCATGTGACAAAATGCAACAACAAGCAGTGGGAGTTACTGATGGAAGAGGGAGGTGAACATCCCAGCCATTCGAAAAACGGCACAGGAAGGCAATCAAGACAAGGTTCGGTGAGAGCGGCAACAGTTGGCAATGTTTTGTTCAGGTGTGCTGTTTGGCCCAGGCCCGGGCCAGGATGCGAAAAGCCCATTGATGCAAAATGCGGGTCATGGCGACGTTTACAAACAGGGGTGCAGCGCAAAGCCGTTGTGCTTCAAGGCGGATTGCCTGGGCACGTGCAAAAACGGCAGTGTGAATTATTATTTAAAATGAGGTGAACATCCCTTAGCCACTCAGCAAAGGCACAGGAACGAAATCAAGAAAAGGTTTCGGCAAGCCACGACCGAATTAATGGACCATGAAATTGAGCGCGGCAAGGGGGGAAAACAGTTGGAATGTTTGTTCAGGTTGTGTGTTTGCCAACGGCCAGGGCAACAGTATGCGAAAGGCACATGGATATGCAAAAGCTGTCATGGTGCGAGTACAAACAGGGCGGCAGCGCAAGATGCGTTGTGGGCAAGGCGGATGCTGGGCAAGTGCAAAATCAAGCGTACAGGGAGGACTGAGTGAAAATGAGGTGAACATCCCAGGCCCCTCAGAAAACGCACCAGGAAGGCAATAAGACAAGGTTTCGACGTTAAGCCGAAAATAGGACCATGAATTTTGAGCGCAAGGCAACAGTTGGAATGTTTGTTCAGGTGGTGAGGGTGGCCCCCGGCCGGGAACAGTTATGCGAAGCCCTTTGATGCAAATTGCGTTGTCATGTGCGCGTGCGGGCCTGGCGCGCCCCTAGCCACTCAGAAAACGGCACAGGAACGAAATCAAGACAAGGTTCGGCAAGCCCGAATAATAGGACCCATGAAATTTGAGCGCGGCAACAGTTTGGAATGTTTGTTCAGGGTGTGTGTGTGGCAACGGCCAGGGGCACAGTATGCGACGCCATGGATGCAAAAATTGCGTGTCATGCGTTGCGAGTTTACAAACAGGGGCAGCGCAAGAGCGTTGTGGTGCAAGGGCGGATGGCCTGGGCACGTGCAAAACAAGCAGTGTGAGTACTGACTAAAATGAGGTGAACATCCCCAGCCACTCAGAAAACGGCACAGGAAGGCAATCAAGACAAGGTTCGGCAAGCCCGAATAATAGGACCCATGAAATTTGAGCGCGGCAACAGTTGGAATGTTTGTTCAGGTTGTGCTGTTTGGCCCACGGCCAGGGCACAGTATGCGAAGCCCATTGATGCAAAATTGCGTGTCATGGTGCGCGTGCGGGCCTGGGCAGCGCAAGAGCGTTGTGGTGCAAGGCGGATTGCCTGGACACGTGCAAAACAAGCAGTGTGAGTACTGATGAAAATGAGGTGAACATCCCCAGCCACTCAGAAAACGGCACAGGAAGGCAATCAAGACAAGGTTCGGTAAGCCCGAATAATAGGACCCATGAAATTTGAGCGCGGCAACAGTTGGAATGTTTGTTCAGGTTGTGCTGTTTGGCCCACGGCCAGGGCACAGTATGCGAAGCCCATTGATGCAAAATTGCGTGTCATGGCGCACGTACAAATAGGGGCAGCGCAAAAGCGTTGTGCTGCAAGGCGGATTGCCTGTGCACGTGCAAAACCGCCAGTGTGAGTACTGACTAAAATGAGGTGAACATCCCCAGCCACTCAGACAACGGCACAGGAAGGCAATCAAGACAAGGTTCGGTGAGAGCGGCAACAGTTGGAATGTTTGTTCAGGTTGTGCTGTTTGGCCCACGGCCAGGGCACAGTATGCGAAGCCCATTGATGCAAAATTGCGTGTCATGGCGCACGTACAAACAGGGGCAGCGCAAAAGCGTTTTGCTGCAAGGCGGATTGCCTGTGCACGTGCAAAACCGCCAGTGTGAATATTGATTAAAATGAGGTGAACATCCCTAGCCACTCAGAAAACGGCACAGGAACGCAATCAAGACAAGGTTCGGTGAGAGCGGCAACAGTTGGAATGTTTGTGCTGGTTGTGCTGTTTGGCCCACGGCCAGGGCACAGTATGCGAAGCCCATTGATGCAAAATTGCGTGTCATGGCGCACGTACAAACAGGGGCAGCGCAAAAGCGTTTTGCTGCAAGGCGGATTGCCTGGGCACGTGCAAAACCGGCAGTGTGAATATTGATTAAAATGAGGTGAACATCCCCAGCCACTCAGACAACGGCACAGGAAGGCAATCAAGACAAGGTTCGGTGAGAGCGGCAACAGTTGGAATGTTTGTTCAGGTTGTGCTGTTTGGCCCACGGCCAGGGCACAGTATGCGAAGCCCATTGATGCAAAATTGCGTGTCATGGCGCACGTACAAATAGGGGCAGCGCAAAAGCGTTGTGCTGCAAGGCGGATTGCCTGTGCACGTGCAAAACCGCCAGTGTGAGTACTGACTAAAATGAGGTGAACATCCCCAGCCACTCAGACAACGGCACAGGAACGCAATCAAGACAAGGTTCGGTGAGAGCGGCAACAGTTGGAATGTTTGTGCAGGTTGTGCTGTTTGGCCCACGGCCAGGGCACAGTATGCGAAGCCCATTGATGCAAAATTGCGTGTCATGGCGCACGTACAAACAGGGGCAGCGCAAAAGCGTTGTGCTGCAAGGCGGATTGCCTGTGCACGTGCAAAACCGCCAGTGTGAATATTGATGAAAATGAAGTGAACATCCCTAGCCACTCAGAAAACGGCACAGGAACGAAATCAAGACAAGGTTCGGCAAGCCCGAATAACAGGACCCATGAAATTTGAGCGCGGCAACAGTTGGAATGTTTGTTCAGGTTGTGCTGTTTGGCCCACGGCCAGGGCACAGTATGCGAAGCCCATTGATGCAAAATTGCGTGTCATGGCGCACGTACAAATAGGGGCAGCGCAAAAGCGTTGTGCTGCAAGGCGGATTGCCTGGGCACGTGCAAAACAAGCAGTGTGAGTATTGACTAAAATGAGGTGAACATCCCCAGCCACTCAGAAAACCAAGACTCAAGTGTAGTGTAGTCTGGTGGGGCCCGATAGCTTGTAGCTCTTTGCCTGGGAGGGCGTTGGATGGAACGAGTGACTTTGCGTTTGGGGGACTTGCACTTGGAGCCGGTACGGGACCAAGCCAGGGGTGTGCTGGTGGTGTGGGAGTCGGCCAGTGCTTGTACAGAGGGCACACCTGCGGAGCGTCCGAGGACGAGCCGCGGCCAACCCGTCTTCTTCGGAGTCCTCTTCCGAGCCCTCTGCTTGCACGCCGCGCTCTCAGCCCAGGCGCAGCCGCATGCACCCCAAAGGCCAGCACCGCCGACACCTCCCCCTCCGAGGAGCCGTCGGCCCAAGCCCGCGCACCACCGTGGCCACCGTGGGGGTGAACGAGTTCGCGAGCGTGTGGTTTCCGCCTGTTCGGCGCCCCACCCGGCCCTTCGCCTTGCAGAGAGGGTTCGCGCCTCTCCGCGTCGCCGTTTTTCCTGGTACAGCCGGTCCATCAGGTTCTGCCCCCCCTGGCTTCGTACTCGGCAAGACCAGCTAAGCGCACCCAGGAACCGGCGTGTGTGACGCTGGCTGCCGCAGGCGCCCCCTGGCAGCCGCGGCACGCCCAGTCACAGCACACAGACGCGGCGGCAGCCTTACTTCGCCCGCTGCAAGTCTGCTTTTTTGCTTGTGCCACCAAGGTCCTTTGCCTTTGCGTTTTTTCAATTTCGATTCGCTGACGGGCTGGTCTGGCCGAGAGCTCAGACACCCGAGGGCTTTGACACCGCACACGGGCAAGTGCCCGGTGGAGCCTGCCTTGCTACTAGTACCACACCCCCTGCCCAAAGGCCATCTGGTGACCGCTGGTGCCTTCACGGCAGCCGCGGCCGGACCTGGCCATTGCAACCCCGCCAGGCCCTCAGGTTTAAAGGTCAGCCAGCAACTCGCCTGAGGTCAAAAGCTGTCTTGCGGCCGCTGGCGCCTCCACGGCAGCCGCGGCTGGATTTGGCTGCCGCCTGCACAGTCACCCTGTCGGGCCCTCAGCTTTGTAATTTCTAGGACCAGGTCCATTGTCAGTGACTGCCAACCACCACGGGCACGGGCGCCGTGCACAGGCAGCTGTCAGGCCCCCAGCCTTGTGCCTTAGGTTACACCTGCATCTGGCAACTGTACCACGAGCTTTTCCTTTTGCAGCACCGAGCCTGGTCCGGTGGCAACCTCAGGCGGACCCTCAGTGCTCCGCCTTCAGTCTGTAGCGTGACTGTTACACAGGACATACTCGAGGCTTGTGTTCCGAGCCTATATAAAGGAGTTTTTCAACTGTAGTGCGCTGCTGCTCTGCCCAGGTGCCCGGGCGCCGCCACTCGGCAGCCGCACCGTGCACAGTCCTACAGTAACCACCTCAGGCAGGGCCCTCAGCACCGTGCCACCTCTCGGTTGCGTGTGAGGCGCTTGGTGGCAGAGCACGTTTGCCTTCCTTCTCAGCGCTGCAGCTCTGCTCAGGTGTGTAGGCGCCACCATCTGGCAGCCGCGTCCTGGCCTGGCAGTAGCATCGTAGCAGTAGCCTAGCTGCCCAAAGAAAAAAACAGCTCCAGAGTCTTGTCCTATCGCATGAAAAAAAACAACTTCTGCAGCTGTGCCGTCTTGCTGGCCCAACACTTCAACAGCATGTCGCGGTTGCCCCGTAGCGCCACGCCCGACTCGCGCGCAACCCGACCCGCGGCACCGTTGCCAACTCCAGGAGATGGCGGGGATGTTGTAATGTCAAGCCCGCCTGCGTTCGAGCACCGCATGGCTCAGACCGCGGACGACGATCTCTGTTGCTTATGCATGGAGCCCTTGTCCCCCCGTGGACGGGCTGCCGAACTTGTTGCGCGCTTCCCCACTTGCGCTGGCCACTCCATGCATCTTGGCTGCGTTGCGCAGCTGCGCTCGGGGGCCCAGGGCCGCAGTGATCTACTGTGCCCCTTTTGCCGACACAGCTCTTGCCCAGTGTGCGACAGCGCCGGATGGTCTGGGCACCACAACGCCGAGCTCCATCGGCTGTGTGCCGCACACGGGGTGCCTATCCCTATGCGGCTCCCTGGGGAATCCACAGTGCGCGCAGTCGTTGCCGATTATGTCTGGTGCACATTCACACACAATGATGCGTCTGAACCACGACCCCCACCTGAGGTCACTGTCCTCTGCTGCCACCGCGTCGCCCCAGCGCACGGCCGGGTGAGTCGCCCCGCTTCGTTGAACTCCCCGACCGCAGTATGCAGTGGGCACCGGCCCCCATCCGCCATTCCACTGGCATTGCCGCCTGGCGCCCTGGGTGGCTGTGCCCACGTTGTGGCCTGGACGACATCGACGTCCCACCACAAGCTGGCGATCCTTGCAGGCAATGCGGAATGACCCTGCGCTGGACATTTGACCGGTTCACAGGCGGCGGTGAGATCCGCTGCGCTAACGGTAACGGCTGTGGGGCAGGCCCGCCCACACAGAGACCCGATGGTGACCCTCAACCGGCGGCACCCCCATGCGGCACACCAAGTGCGCCAGCCAACTATGCAGCCGGGGATTCAGGGCGGCACCTACCAGCTGGGGGCCACGCCAACTGACGTTGCGCACGCAACCAGCCCAGCGCCCACGCCTACCGGCGAGGTGTCTGGGCGACCCCGGCCAACATGAGTGCCCCCAGCATGCAGCACAGACTGATGTTTGGGTTGAGCGCGGGCCTCCCATTGGCACAGCCTCGGCAACCAACTCCATGGCTATACGTGCCCCTGCTACGCGCCGCCATAGGTGCGCTGTCAGAGCCTGCCACTGACCAATGGCGGGCTGACCCACGCGCCTCCCATTGGTGGGAAAACGCCCGCCGTGCCCTCAGCGCGTCAGCACCTGCACCTGCCAGCGCAATAATCGACGCTTGCGTTGAGGCAACCACCCATGCTGGCTAGCCCTGCCAGAGGGGTTGCTCGCAGAGGCCGCGGTGCTCCCTTCCAGCGCCCTGGTGCACTTGGGCTGGGCGGTCCGCCACCTCATCCGGCCAGACGGGTATATCACAGCGGCGGCCCAGGAAATTTGCTTGCAGCTCTTCACTGGGGCTCGTTTTTTGCGGTCGAGCTGAATAGTCTGTCCGAGGCCTTGCGCCAACCACTCGCGCCTGCTCTGCCGCCGTGCCCGCAACGCTTAACAGTCACCGCTGGTTGCGAACCTGCGGGGCGGCTGGTGAAGCCGCCGCACTTGATGCAGGCTCCCCGACCGCGGCACTTGACATCGCCGCCGTCGACAACCCCGCCAGTGACGGCGAAGAAGCCCCCCTCCCGGCCGACGCAGCTCTTCGGCCGCCGCCACGGCAGCACGTGGTCGTGGACGAGCACGTGGGCGCGGGCGACGGGGACGTGGCGGCCGTGCACCCGCAGTGCCCGCAACAGCTTGCCCTGAGGACCCGTCGCCCGACGCGCCCCAGCCGCCGCAGCCCACCCAGGCCGAACAACGTGCTGTGGCCGGTGAGGCGGGCTTGCGCTGCGGTCTCCAGCAGCTCGATGACATCGATCTGCACGACGAGATGCGTCGACAGGTGCTGACGCTTCAGAGTGCCCCGCACAAGGTGCGAGGGACGCTCCGCATCGCCCTCCGCACTGGCCTCCGTGAGGCGTTGGAAGGCGCAGGGCCTGCTGACACCAGCCGCGGCTGGAAACTCTTCTTCCTTGCGCCTCGCATGCTACTGCAGCGCGGTGCTGGCCAGCCTTTCGTTGATGCTTCGCAGCTGCAGCAACGCTGCGACCTCTTCCGAGGGGAGTGGTTGGCCCTGCTGCGCGAAGCCACGCAAACGCCTTCAGGGCCTGGCAGCGGGATGCCTGCGGCCGGTGAGTCTGCGTGTGCGGCGCGAGCTGTGCGCCTCGTCCAGCTTGGGGAGCTTTCGGCGGCAGCGCGTGCGCTGACCGCAGCACCACTGGCACCAGGAACTGAGGAGACGTTGGCAGAGCTCCGCGACCCGGAGCGGAAGCCACCAGAGCCAACGCCGATGTCCCAGAGCAGGTATTGGCGGCTGTCCGTGTAGTGCGAGTCGTCGCGTTGAAAAAACCCAACGGCCGCGTGCCTGCCCTGGTCGTTGGAGATGTTTTCAGGCGCCTGGTCGCCCGAACGCTGGCGCAGCACTTTGCAGCCGCGTTCCAGGAAGCCTGTCTCCCGTACCAGTTCGGCCCGAGCACGCGAGCCGGTACTGAAAGCGTGTACAAGCTCCTCCACACTGCCACCGCCCTTGATCCTCGCACGACTATCTTGTCGGTTGACGCGATCGGAGCCTTTGATCATGTCTACCGCCAGGCCATGCTGGAGGGGCTGCGGTCCAGACCGGAGCTCGAGCCGCTGCTGCCTTTCGCCAGGCAGTTTTACGGCAGTGGTAGCTTGTACACGTGGCTAGACGCTGATGGCCGCGAGCACGACATAGTGCAGGGCGAGGGGGGGGGAGCAAGGGGACCCCATCATGCCGGCCCTGTACTCACTTGCAGTACATTCGGCTTTGCAAGCTGCTGCAGCCGACCTGTGGTTAGGCGAGGCGGTGTTCGCCTTCCTTGATGACACCTACGTCGCTGCGCCTCCTGAGCGCGTTGCGACTGTCCACGCCACCCTCCAGGAGGCCCTTTGGAACCATGCGCGCATCCGCCTCAATGCCGGGAAGACGCGCATTTGGAATGCGGCAGGCGAGGAACCACCTGGCATTGACCTCCAGACAACCAACGGAGGCCCAGTTTGGACTGGGGCGTGGTCCTTGCCCCCCCGCCCAGCAAGGCATCCTGGTTCTCGGCGCCCCAATCGGGAGCGAGGCCTTTGTGCAGCAAGAACTTCGCAGCAAACGCGAAGTGCAGGATGAGCTTCTCCGCCGCCTCCCGGCCCTGCCCGACCTGCAGACCGCGTGGCTCCTGCTCCTCTTTTGCACCTCCCCTCGGGCCAACTACTACCTCCTGCGCATGCTCCCGCCGGGCACAACGGCTGGCTTTGCCCGGGGTCATGACGAGGCAGTGCAAGGCTGCCTGGCCGCCCTCTTGTCGCAGCCCCTGTCCGAACAGGCGAGGCTCCATTTGCCCCTTCGCTTTGGCGGACTTGGCTTGCGGTCGGCAGTCGAATCCGCGCCAGCAGCCTATTGGGCCTCCTCTGGGCAGACTGCCTTCCCGCCATCCGCGCTCGCGCGCCGGATGTCGCCGCGCGCCTGGTGCAGGACCTGCAGGCCGACTGTGCCGACGCCCCGGTGCCTCTGGCTGCAGCGCAGCATGCGGCGGCCTGCCTCCGCGGCCAAGGGTATGCGGCACCGGGATACACACCGATCAAGCCGCCCGTGCTGATCGGGAGTTCGGGGACCCGTTGCGTGGGTGGCAGCGGTTGGCCACGGCGGCCGGGGACGAGCGCGCGCTCGAGGTGCATCTTTCTCACCTTGATACTGCATCTCGAGCGCTGCTGCTGTCACAGGCCGGGCCACACGCGGCACGTGCACTCACAGTCTTCCCGACCTCCTCCGAGTTGACCTTGCGTTCGCCACAATTCCGGATCGTCCTGCTGCGCCAGTTGCGACTACCCCGCCTGTCGCCCCATGCGCATGCGCCCGACGGGGACGTCTGGACCCGCTGGGGGACCACCGCGAGGCATGTGCCAACTCGGGGGTGCTGGCCTCGCGCGCGCTGCCCTTGGAGCGGGCTGTCGCGCGTGTCTGCCAAGAGGCCGGGGCTCGCGTTGCCCGCAATGTGCGCCTCGCGGACATGAACATCGATGTTGCGGTCACCGGCGACCGCCGCATCGAAGTCGTTGCCAACGGCCTTCTTCTATGGCACGGCTCGCAGCAGGCGGTCGACGCTACCATCGTCAGCCCTGTCACTCGCACTGGTGAGGCACAACCTGGGGCCGACGTCCAGCTCGGCCGAGCGCTCCTTGGGGCAGCCCGCCGCAAGCGGCGGGCTGGTGCAGGTGGGGCCCAGGTGTTAGGGGTCAGGAGCAAAGCTTTAACTTCTTAAGCCTTATATCGTAAAACAGCAGCAACCCCCCCGCAGCCATTTTGGCTGCGACGGAGCCTCAAGACCCCTGCGGTTGATGATATAAATCTTGCATTACCTTAAGGACCCTAAACCATGAGAATTATGCAGGATTTATATCATCAGCAGTATATTCTGGTATCGCGGACCCTTGGGGAACTGCTTCTTTTCTTTCATATAATCCTGCCGCGGCTCATGGCTCCATTTTTGTCCAACCCAGCGGCGGCGCCCTTTGGTTGTGGCTCGTCTTTATGGGTGGTTGTCAAAATTAGGGTTCCTTTTTGGGTCCTTATTATAATAATTACGGCACCTAATATTTGAGGGTTGTTAAAAAGGGACCATAATCTTGACAACCTCCCTTATGATTTTACGGTTGCGGCCCTGGCTTGTGGTTTGTGAGTTTGAGTTTTCGGGTTCAGGGTGTGGGCCTTTGTGTAGGGCTTGAAGGGGTTGAGGGTTGTGAAGGGAATGGCGGTGGCAGTACAGACAATGATGGGCAGTAAAAGGCAAGAAGGACAGAAACTACGACCATGCCAGCATCAATAGTCATAATGATAATGACGTCACTAGCTTAATGATCCGAAAATGATAATAATGGCAACAAAAACAGTAAGAATAACAACAAGAACATCAAAGAGGAGTTGTGGCTCCGACTCGGACCAGGCTGTTACCACTCGCCAGGACAGTGCATCACACGATGGATTTTCTGCCCAATGCACTACAACACTCAACCCTGCTTGCTTTAGATGCACTTCTGAGTCTCGTTGTATTGAGCGGTCCCTATCTCCGAGCCATGCTTTCCTGTCATGGAAGGGTTCTTATTCACATATGACTGATTACTTATGAGTGACCTAAATCTATGTCCCTAGCAGGCACCCGCCCCGAGAGAGCAATACCTTCTGGTTGGGGAAAGTCTCCAAATCCCAAATTCAGCCCGTAATGTTTTCGGTATAGAATATTCCCTAAATTTGGGATATGGGGGCTAGCTGGCAGGGAAGGCTATGAAGCACAAGTTGAGCCATGTGGCCATGCATTCGGTTTTTGCGAACACGAGAAGCCCCACAGCCTTAAGCTCTTCATGAACCCTAAACACTACAAACCCCCAACCTTGATTAAACGCTATCAATCTTAGAAGCCCAAATTAAGCCGCACCGCACATGAAAGCCAAAGCCGTAAAAAGGTCCTCCTGAGTATGAGACAGAATAGACCAGGATAGAATAGAGGAGAATAGGATGAGATCCGAGATGGAATAGGATAGAGTGTAGTATATTGCTTTTTGATACTACGGATATAACGCAAAAGAATAGAAGATAGCATGCACAACATGATATAACACAACACGGTCTGATTTAAGCTAATGCTACATAATGCCTTTTGCCATATGATAAGGTATGTTTTGTTTGATGTGATGAGATATGATATGTTTTATGATGTGATGTCATGCGGCATTACATTATATTACATGCTATGACAGGATGTGATATGACGTGATATGACACGATATGATACTACACGAGATGATGTGGTGTGATATATCTGTTGTGATGTGATATGATGTGATGTGTTACGGCAAGAAATGATATCATATGGCATGATGTGAATTGACATGAGGTCGTATGACATGATATGGCACGACACCATATGATAGCCTAGGCTCTGGAGAATGAGTGGTAAACTTCCAGTATTTCCTCTTAGTCCCTGTATCGCGCATGGTATATCAATATACCTCAAACCACCTTTAGAGGGCCGTTGTGTTGTGTATTATCAAGTGAATAAATAAATAAGTGTATATGTATATATATATATATATATATATATATCTATATGTGTGTGTGTATGTATTTTTTGCATAGTTTCATACATACATATATACATATATATATATATATATATGTATGTGTATATATATATACATATTATTTTCTCATTTTATGAAGTATCAGATTGCTTAGGTCTTGTAACGGGGTCCATTACTCCAGTACCCCCCCAAAAAAATTCGAATCACATTTTCCGAGAAATCCTACTGAAATCATCCCCACGTTTTACAACCAATTTGGAAGTATAGGGGTTTCAGGAGCAAGAGTAAGAGCAGGAGAACGTTGTAGACAGAGAGAGGACGGGAGCAAGAGCAAGAGTCCTAGCAGGAGAAGGAGCAAGAGCTCAGGAGCAAGATCACCTGCAAGTTTTTGTAAACTCCACCCTAATAGTAGCATCACTTTTCGAGTTATGATTGGGGAGGGGTGCCCCCGCTTGATACTAGGGGGAAGGGAGCCTTCTCTGAAGCTCCCGGACCTTTGCCCATGCTTTGTGGGTGCAGTGTGGCTTTGGACTTTGGTTGCTTCATCACAGCAGCAGCACAAGTAATTTATTCACAGCTCCGTGCGGCAATGAGCATAATGAGCGCCACGAACATAGCGTCAAGCATTATCACGGGGCACCGCAGCTGGAACTTTCTGTTGGACATGCTTCGCAGTGTGACTCAACTATTGCAGTCCTTTATTATATGGGTAGCTGTCAAAAGTATGGTTCCTTTTTGGGTCCCTAAAATAGTACGGCACCTAATATTTAGGGTACCCCAAAAGGGACCTTAATTTTGACAACCACCCATATACTTCCAGTATAATATTCCTCGAAAGCCCATCCTTTTTCTTGAGGCCCCGATATATCATTGAGAAGCACATGCAGGGTGCCCTCATCTCCCTGAATCCAAAATCCTAGCTTATGGGTAGTTCCCTAAACTCGGGCCCCTTTTAGGCTGCCATTTTTAAGGGGGCCGTACTATTTTAGGGACCTGAACAAGGACCCTATAATTTAAAGAACCACCCATGTCAGGATACACCTGCGGCTGCGGAAAAATCTACCAAGGCAAAAGGTGCTATGAAAGACACAGGGCAAGCTGCAGGCCGGCTTTAATCCCTGAATCCAAAACTCAAAATCCCCAATGAGTTCTTGGCGTTTTAGTCGACAGATTCAGGATTTAGGCTTTAGAGTTCAAGGTGCAGGATCTAGTCAGGGTTTCCT